CTCTATTGGGGGAGTGTATCCTGCCCGTGATAGTCTAATACAAGGTTTCTCAACCTGTGGGTCACAACCTAAAATTGGATCTCCAGAACACGTCAAAGGGTCAAGGGGCTGCCTGGGCTCACCTCCCCACTCCGGGTGCTGTGACCTGGTGCAGCGGGTCATGCCGCCACTCAGGTTTGGTCCAGCTGCCCCTCTGTCATGATGATGGGGGAGGCAGGTGGGCCAAATTTGAGGGAGTGGTCGCAATGCCACTCACACAAATTTGGCCTGGCCAGCTGCCCCACATCAGGGGGCTGAGCCCAGCCAGCCCAGCAGGACAGGAGCTGGGAGGGAACAGTTGATATCACACTCTCTGGTAAGTATTGCCCCCACACAATGTACTGCACCCCCAAGCTGGACAACACCCCATCTTCCATACCCCCATCCTGCATCCCAGGACCTCCGAATGGGGACCCCAAGGTACATCTCCCACAAAGACCCCTCTGTCATACCACCCTTCCGGATTCCCAGCTCTTCCTCCACTGCCACCCCAGCCCCTCCTGCCCCCCGACTCCTTCCTCCAACCTCCCCATCTTACTTAGCCCCAGGACCCCAAATCCACCCACCCTTTTACCGTCTGCCCCCCATGGACATTTAGGGGTTGTGTGTTTTGGGGGAAAATCAGCTCATTGTCCTTCCCCCGGACCCCTCTGTCCCCATAACCTCCCCCAGGCTCTTACTGTCCCCGCACACCCTGCTGCCCCCCCATTCCTTCCCCATCCCCCTCCAGAAGCCCCAACTTCGTTCTCACTATACCCCCAGGTGCCCCAATCTCCCCACTTCACCTCCAAGCCCCCAAATCCCCCCTTACTCTCTGCCTCCCATGGGCCGTGAGGGGGTTTTGTAGTATTAGGGGGTTGTCTTATCTCACTGCCCCTCTCCTCAGTTGCTGGAGGGGGATATGCCCCAGCTGTTCACATCTGGATGGAGCACTTGGAATTTTAGTTCTGAGACTCTCCCCCTCACTGAATCCTGCAGGGGGAAGAGCATCCGGTCTGGGGGAGCAGGGGGTATCTCCGGGTTGTGACAGACCATGCATCAAGATTTACAAACGGGTCCTTCACTCCAAATGGTTGAGAACCACTGGCCTAATGGGTGTTTTCCCCTATTGTGATCCTATCCACGCCAGACATTTGCGTGGCCACCATCTTTCCTGCCTTCAGAACTTGTGAAAATCACTCCTTGGTCAGCCAGATGGGCAGAAGGCATCCTCCACCCCCCCACTTCCAAAGGTGCTAGTACACTCCCAGACCTTATTTGCTACAGATGGAGTGTCAACAAAGTTTTATGGTACACGAACCATGCATTTATCTTGTAATCTAAAGTGATTAATTAATGAACAATTCATTCACGGCTGCAGTGGAAATCAAAGGTCATGATAATAACAGGGACCATGCAATGGGGGGGAAAGGTTTGCTCCACTGGATCAGAGAAACCATCCGTCAGAGTCTGCTTTCTTACCTCCGGTAGCTTCAAAGAAAGGAGGAGGAATCCTCATGCACCAAACAAATAGGTGAGGGGCCATCTGGAGAACAGAAAGTGTCCTAGCAACCTGACAGTTATACCACCTGCACCTCACGCACCCTAGGAAGCATGGGGCGTGCTTGTGAATATTCCCCACTCTTGAGGAGTAGGCTGTGAAGGATCATGTCAGACCCAGGCCCGTAGGTCCTGCTCAGGCTGGGCCCACAGCAGCTCACGAGAATCAGTGGCAAAGGGGGCTAGCAGAACTCTAGCTCACAAAGGACTCTGCCCACAAAGCTCCTAACTGGGGGAGACATCTGTGGTCTGAGCATTGCCAGGGGCCCGATGGGTCTGGGTTGGGGACCCATGGGGTTTGAGAAAGAAAAGGGGTAGGGAGGAGGTGGGGTCATGGGCCACTGCGCCTTCTCTACACCAGCCTGCACTAGTGGGAGTAACCTGCAGTTCCCTCCTTGCACACGAGTAGGCAGCAGTGAGAGAGATTTCCCTGTTTGAGGCACAATATCTCCAGCGCTCTATCATCCCTAAACAGGGTTGTGGCATGAAAGATATAATCTAGTCCTAAATTGCTGAATGGACGTGTGTACAAACGTGTGGGTATGTGTGTGCACAGGGGTGCGTGTATGTGTATTCATATATGTGGCTAGATCCGCAGATGATGTAAGTGGAGCTATGCCAGTTTACACTGGCTAAGTATCTGGTCCATAGTAACATAAACCTTGGAGACAAAAATAATAAATTAACACAATGCTTTGCATTTGCATAGGTTCTAAGGCCAGAAGGGAATATTGCGACCATCCATTCTGACCTCCTGTATAATACAGGCTACAGAACTTCCCCAAAATAATTCCTAGAGCATATATTTTAGAAAAACATCCAATCTTGATTTTAAATTTGTCAATGATAAAGAATTCACCACTACCTTTGGAAATTACCCTCATTGTTAAAAATTGTGCCTTATTTCCAGTCTTGAATTTATCGGGTCTCAATGTGCAGCCTATTGGATTACGTTATACCTTTGTCTGATAGACAGAAGAGCCCATTATCAAAGATTTGTTTCCCCTGTAGGTACTAATAAACTGTGATCGAGTCACCCAACTACTTAGAGGGTTCTGTGAACCCTCTTCAATTTATCAACATCCTTCTTGAATTATGGAAGTGGACCAGAAATGCATACGATATTCCAGTAGTGGTTACACCAGTGCCTAATACCTATGCCTTTACATTTAGCTGCATTACATGGCATATTGTTTGCTTGTACCCAGCTTACTAAGTGATACAGATCTCTCTATATCAGTAACTGTCTGCAAACTTTATCAGTGGTGATTTTATAAATATGTCATTCTCCCCAGTCATTCATAAATATGGTAAATAGTATAGGGCCAACAACCAGACCCTGCCGGACCCCACTAGAAACACATCTTTATAATTATATTTTGAGACCAATCAATTAGCCAGTTTTTAATCCATTTAATGTACGTCATGTTAATTTTATACTATTCCAGTTTTCTAATCAAAATATTGTGCTGTACCAAGTCATACGCCTTACAGAAGTCTAAGTATATTACATCAACACTATTACCTTTATCAAGTAAATCTGTTATCTCATCAAAATATATTAAGTTAGTCTGACAGGATCTATTACTCACAAAGGCACATTGACTGGCATTAATTCTTTATTAATCGAGTCCCATAGAAGTTGGGCCATTATCTTTCCTAGGATCAATGTCAGACTGACAGGCCTCTAATTACTCAGGTCATCCCATTTACCCTTTTTAACTAGAGGCACAACATTCGCTTTCTTCCCGTCTTCTGGAACTTCCTCAGTGTCCCAAGAGTTATTGAAAATCAACATTAATGGTCCAGCAAGCTCCTCAGCCAGCTCTTTTAAAAGTCTTGTATACAAGTTATCTGGACCTGCTGATTTAAAAATATCTAACTTTGAAATATTTATTTGCTTTAGCAAGCTAAAGTAGTGGTAGCTCATGTAGAGAGGTTTTAGCTTAGTAACTCTTGAAAGGAAAGTGTGTTCTTCTAAAAACAATTGTCTGCCGGGACTTTCCTTTCATTGGCGAGTCTGCGTGTTACAATTGTTAGTTACTGTTCTGCACTCTCGCTCCCCGGAGAATTTCACTAGCTGCACAGGTGCAATGGTTTGCTGATATGCAAATGGAAATACAAATATAACCTTCCTCTGATGGAATGTCTCTATGTTAGCCTCATGACAGTACATGGGCCAGGAAAAGGAGAAAGAGAGTGATTCCCTTGAGGGCCTTGGTCTGATAACTTGTGAAGGTAAACTTCCTTCGCCAGGGTGCAGTTTGTCTGGTATGGACCCGCTCTTGCCAGTGTGGTAACATGCATCCTTTATGCTTGACTGAATTGTTTTACATAGGGCTTGAAGTCAATGGGAGCATTCTCGTAATTGCTACTCACTGTAAGGGCGGCATGGGCCCATGGTATTAGTGATTGTGTCCAGGCATTCTTTTTAACTAAGAACTAGCTTTTCCAAAGAGCTCAGCAAGTTGAGTGCTGAGCTTTTTTGAAAATGTGGTCCTTATTTGGGTGCCACAATGGGAGCTGGGCCAATTGCGGATGCTGAGCACTTGAAAATCTGGTCCTGTATGTGTAGTGATTTTTTTTTTTAATGTCTCCTAAATAGGGAATGATAACTGTTTGCACATCTATAGTGTCTTTCATCCAAGCAGCTCAACATGCTTTACAAACACTTAAGGGTCCAATCCTGTTTGCAATGAAGTCAATGGGAGTTTCATAATTAACTTCAGTGGAAACAGGCATAGCCTATATTTAAGCCTAGCAATTTACCTTGCTCGCCACACACCCCAGTGGGGTAGATATTATTATCTCCCTGTAACAGAGTGATAGGGAAGCAAGTTTTCCCAGGCCACATACAAATATAGCTTGAGAGGGAACCAATTTACAGTACATAAGCAGCTCAAACTACCTCCTTTGCTCACCTGTAGATAATGGCCTTGATCCAAAGCCTACTGAAATAAATGGAAAGACTCCCATTGACTTCAATGGGCTTTTGACCAGGTCCTAAAAAAACAGAAGAGGCAAGCAACATAAATTTACTTGAAGTGAATAATGTTTTGGTGTCCAAGGGCCTTGAAATGTTCTGCTGCTAACTTCATTTGGAGGTGCTGAATGCTCCAGAACTGGAGGATTAAAGGACTTTGATCAGAGACTGCATGGCTCAAGGGGTTAGTGATAGGCTGGGAGACTTTTAGGGTTCCAGTTCAGATCTAGCCCAGGACATTAATGAGTGACCCAGTTACCATGTGATGACCATTCAGTAGCCCACATGGAATGAGTCTGGTGATCTTTGTATGGTTTGCAGTGTGTAGCTAGCTGAGTGTTTCACTAATTGGCCTTCTCACTGGCAGTCTCTGCAGAGAGACCAAAGACAGAACGTCTGTCACCACTAGCCCTGTTACCTTCTGCGAAATAGGGTAGAGACAGTCTTGCAAAAAGCATGAGCACATTAAAACATTCAAATGATGCGGTTTAATGCTGTGTACACTTTTTTAGGATTTTCATGCATTATAAAGCATGTTTGAACACTACAGGCAAAATGAGTTCTTCCATGTTCTATCACAATTACAGTATATCAAAAGATAAGGATCTCTCTGTCCTAACATCAACTCAACACCTTTATAAACCTTATGTTTATGCGTTTCTGGTTCCAGGCACATGAATATTTTTTTCCATTGTCAAAAGAATTATTTTTATTAAAAGAAAAGCCACAATGAAGATACATTAAAAATTAAAACAGAGTTTGCTTCTTAACATTTTGCTCACTGTTCTAAACCTGCCAGTACTGCTACATTTCAAAAACTGGAAATTATTTAGATAATTCTTTAAGGCTTAGTGTGAAAATTTCGCAGCAAAATGGGGAAACTATTTACAGTTGTTTAGGTTTTACTGGGTGGTGGGAAGGAAGTAGGTGACTCTAAAGAAGAAAATGCATTGACTTTTTCTTTTCTCTCTCTTCTGTTAAGCTGGTCCAGTTTATTGTGGTGAAAAGTGTCAAGAGGGAATGAAGTAAGTGTGAACAAGTGTGAAGTTGTTAAAACAGGTGCTAAAAAAGGGCCTGCTGGCTGTCCTAGTATTAGCCTGAAATGCTACTTCTTCCACAACTTGTTACTGAGGCTTCCCTCTAACTGATGTGCTCTAGAGCAGTGCTTCTCAAGCTATCTGATGGGGGGACCGGCCAATTTTTTTTTCCAATGCGCACGCAGACCGGCAGCCGGTCGGCGGACCACCACTTTCAGCAGCACTGCTCTAGAGAGTTAGGTGCAGCTCTAGTCTTTCAGAGACTCCTGGATACTTGAGCCTTCCACAGAACTCCCCAGGGGCATAGAAGACTAAAGTGTTTGTTCTTAAAGCACTTTTTAAAAAGAAGCTGGGAACTATGGGCTGACTGAAACCTTCACCCCACTGGTTTTTTGGTGCAGAAAGCACTAAAGGTAGCAGAAGTGACACAGTTCCACTTCCTGAGGTGGAGCAAGCCAAGGACTAGCTGTCATGGGGAACTCTACCCCATGTGCTCACCGCATAGTTCTATTCCACAGTGCCAGCAATACGGAAGGAAGGAAGGAAGGAAGGAAGGAGGCAGGGGCATGGCAGGCACAGTCTCCGACTAAATAATGGAGCTACCACTACAAGGATCTACAGGGCTAAACATCACACCCAGGAGCACCAGCTGTTACTACAGCCTTTCCCTGTAACTGTGGCAACAGATTAGCCACCCAACCACTCCACACTTCTGGATTAAGGGGGAGAGTAGTCCTTTCCATTTTAGGTATTTCTATACTGCCCCTCACTCTAGTAGCCAAGTGCTTCTAAAGGCCTGTGCAATGCCTGTTTAGGCTTTGCATGAAGAGTGTGAAGGTGAAAAGCCTTTGACCCTATAACAATGTAAAGTCACTTAAGGTCACCAGGCAGTATGTGTAGATAAATGGAATTTCTATTCTTCAAATCCACTGCTAACATTTACAGTGTACTTTATTTTCTACTGGCAAATCAACTAGTTCACAGGGAGCAAGAACCCCACTATCTCCAAGGCCAACCTGGCTTCAGTAACATAGAGCCAAAAGAATGGAGATTCTTAAAACACTGGGTGACAAAGTAAGGACCAGACTCTGCCTTCAGAAATATGCACATAAAAGTCCCAGAAAATTTGGTAGGAATTACTTGTGTATATCCCAGGGCAGAATTTGGCCTGTTATTCATCTTTATGTGCCTATCCTTGATTTGCTTGGAACGCAGGGAATGTGCAGTCTAAATCCAAAAGGTCAAACAAGGCTCCTTTTTTTTGTATATATATAATTTATACATCAACTACCAGTATATACTATACTGATATAGTTTTTCCACAATTAAAAGAGTAGCCTATATTATAGTTAAATCTCTACATTTAACAGAGTTATATTAAGAAACTATTTAACATTCTGTTAACCACAGCCATCAAGCTCATTCTTAAGGGTATAACACATAACCTGCATATTGACCATAAGTTTCATCACAATTTCTTGATTTATAAATATGAAATATGATAGATTAAAGCTTAGTAAGACAAAAATTCTCAACATTTGGAAGCTAGGGGCTGCCTATCTGAATTAATTTGTCTTAATTAAATACAAAAATTTATTCAACATATAGAGCATTATTATTACGTGTGTTTTGTAGCATCTAAAAGCACCAATCAGGGATCAAGGCCCCATAATGCTAGGCCTTTTACAAACACAGAATTGCATTACATCTATTTTTTATATCTGCTGAGACTTCTTTAGCAATTACAAATATTAGACATTCTTTTTGTAGGTCTGTCCTTCAAAAATTCAATAAAATATTAAACAAAAAATAAAATTTATTCCTTAATGATACAATACAATTTGAAAAACCATATCAATGTTTTGTATGTGTGCAATTTATCAGTTAGCACAACAAAGAATTGACTGAGACAGAGAAAACTGTTGATCAGGCTGCATTTCAGAAAAATGTCTATGCAAAATGTGTTTTCATACTGAAATCAACTGAACCAGCAGTGTTAAAATAGGCCAGTAGAACAAATTAGGCTAGCAACAGTTTGCAAAGGTTTTTCATTTTGCAGTTCAGGTAATTTTGCAAAGTCATCAATGGGTTTTTCAACTCTGGCGTTTGAACTCTTTGCAGCAGGGGTTGGCAAAATGTATCTTGCAAGCTAAATGTGACTCTCAGCAGCCAACGTTGTGATCCACCTTCTTTCTGATAAACAGACATGGCCAAAACAGACTACTTACTTCACCATGCAATCTTTCCTCTTGATCCAGTGGAAGGCTGCTGAGATCAAGATGGAGCACTGCAAGATGCGATCTTTAGTGTCTGTGAGCTACCCCTCCATATTAAAGATGAGGTAAGCGTCAATCTGCTCAATTTTATGCCAGTTAGGGGGCAAATCCTTTTAAATTAGGGGGCAGATCCAGATTTAAATGGAAAGCAGTGGTGCTCAGCACTTTGCAGGTGTGGGCCTTATGTACTCCTCAAGCTTCAGTGCCAATATGTGACCAACGCAGTCCTGGGCCCAAGTGGGAGTAGTCCCAAACACACACTCATGAAGTTAATGAGGATTTACATGTCAGATAAAAGGTACTCATTAAAATACACTGCTCATTGGGCCCAGAAAATGGCTATGAGCAATTTATTTTGGTGCAGTATATCTTAACAACACTTCTTTGCCTGAGTAGTGGTGAGAAAAGTCTGCCTACTAGGGGAAGATACTGTGAAACCTCTTTCAAAAAACTGTGAATGTAGCTCGAATTGAACTTTTCACAGGCGCAGTGGTTGATTGCTCACTTTATCTGGGAAATAATGGGTGGGTAGGTGGTTGAAGCCCTGCCTAGCTGAACAATGAGTGAAGAGTGGGAAAGTAAATTCTGGGCAAAGTAATCTTCAAGGATTCTATGGTGGAGTGAGAAAGAAGCTGGTAGTATTTGATGTAATATACATGCAGTTATTCAAGGTGTTTCCTGTGCTAATGACTAGGTAACACTTCACTATTTGTACTTTTTCTTATTAATCTTTCTAAATGATTTTGTTTAACCCTAATGAGAACCATTTTTTCTATGGTGTACATATATATTGATCATTTTTCCCATGAAAATACAGCCATCTTTGGAATGAAATGTAGAAACTGTTTATCAGCTCACAGTAATTTAGGACAGGAAATAAAGAAGAATACAGTATGTTTCTGCCCCACCGTTTTTAGGCAACCTCCTATTGTAAGAGACCAACTCCAAAGTATTTCCAAATATACTGAGCATGAACCTAATGTCCTATCTGATTTTACAGATCTTCTGTAAGTCAGGAGTAACTCAACTGAAGGGTTTTGTAGTAGTGCTGCGGCATGGGTGTGTTTGGGACGTAGGAGGGGCATCCACTCAGCTCACTAAAAATGTCCCTGGTAATCAGAAGTTTTCTACCACAAAGGGATTAATAAAAGTATTTTACAAATATGTATCTACAAATTGAACACAAATGGACAAAAATATCTTCCCCACTCTGCACAAAATATATATATAGACATACACTTAGCACTTATATAGTACTTTTCAACTTCATAGCATTTTACAAACATTAATTTTATTAATCTTCACACATACCCCTATCAGGCAGAGAAAATATTATCATTCCCTTTTTACACGAGGAAAATAAGTCAGGGAGAGGTGAAGTGATTTGTCCAAGATCACAGAGGGAGCCAGTGTTAGAATTCTGTATTTCCTTACACTCAGTCCTCTATTCAGAACACTAGCTCTCACTTTTGCTCCATGGAAAAAAGTAAAACATTACACAGCAGTTGACACAACACTGAAAAAGTACAAAATAAATGCTCAGACCAAATACCCACTGGATGAAAAAATCAAGCAAAACACATCTAACTCTACATTATATAAAAGATTTTAAAAAAATAAACATACACTCAGCAAAATTATCATATTCACATCTTCAGCACAATGACTAATAATACAGCTGCAGAACAATGATTAGATTAAAACTATTTTAAAAACTGGCTTCAAAGTAATCGCAAATACTCATTTTGCAAAACAGCACATTTCACTCCAAGGGATATCCCCATGTAAAACCAGAAAGTGTGATTGAATTGTCCGCTCCCACACATTCTTACATGAAGATTCTCACGGTAGCTACTGCAAATTTTTGCCAGGACACTATGATTCTACTTGGCAACGCTAAATCCAAAATATATTGAGTCAACTTCTATGCTCATCTGCACAACCACCTGGCCATCAGTGAAGTTACATGGGTGTAAATGAGGGTAGCATCTGATACAATAAATTTTGAGCCGAGCGTTCCTCTCACAAAGGTGTAACACCAGTGAGAGGAGACTCGGGACCTTTATTTTCACATTCAGTACACTGTCATTAGAAAATTGCTTTCTAAATCAAAAAGTTTTCTTGTTATTTGTTCTATATGTTATCGTCTCTGTTCTCTCCCTGAGTTATAGTAACCTCAAACTGCCCAATCCTGCAGCCCTTAGATAAGCAAAAATTCCATTTGCCTTAATGAGCATTTTGTCTGCCCATTGCTATTTTAGAGACTGCTCCTGCACCAGGTGAAGTCAGTGTGAGTTTTGCTGTTGATGTCAATGGGAGCAGAATCGGGTCTTGAGTCTCATTGCAATTTTGTTCTGTTAGAAAGACACATACTTGATCCATTAATGAAAAGCAGGATTTCCTCCAGAATTTAGGGGCAAGCCAACAAATGGTCTCAATGGGTATCCCAAAAGCGTACACAGTTACAAAAACTAAAACCCCAAATAGCTCACATGGCTTATTTTGGTATTACTGAGTAAGAGATGAGGTGGGGAGAGACTTTAAAGAAAGTGAACAGAGTGGAGTAAGCAAAAGCAAAGTGTGGTGAGACAACACACTTTTAAGACTTTGGGGGAAACATTTAAAAGTTATTTGATACAATCTCCCCAGATATGTGTTTTCTGTGTTTCAATAATTTGGCCATTTTAGGAATACCTCAGGAATTGAAACACTAACAGAAAGTGTCTCTTGTGTGTTATTGGCTGGAATACAGTGGTTCTGAAAGGGCAGTAAGGATGGACAATCTTTTGTGCTGAATTTCAACTTTTTTTATGAGAATTATCACATCAATATTTGACTTTGTATTTCACTCATAATACAGCTAGATGGCCATTTTGCTATTACTGGAAGCAAATGTTCTAACAAAAATACATGTTAAAATATTTAAAAACATCTTAAGTTGCTATAAATTTTCACAAACATAAAGTTCATACAAAATCTGTATCTGGCTATCTTTGGTATTTATATATCGTGCCAGTCACCACAGTATCTAGGCACAGATGCTACAGAACACTGCATTTTGAGTAACAAATAAAAAGCCCCATCAGTACTTTGCTACTACAAGGGACACTAACTCTTTTAGGATTAGCACAGAAAAATATTTAAGCAATTTTTTTAGTCAAATTTAAAAAACAAACAAATCTAAAACAGATCCTTTGGTCTCTTGGAAAATCAATCCTTTTACTTCAGGACCACTCTGTGCTCTCCTCGTGCTATATGTGAGGAGAATTCATATCTGTCTTGGCTTCTGTACCCACACATGTTGCATTCGAAAGGATCACGGAATCCGTGGCATCCCATATGAATGGTGAACATCACATAATCCAAAAACAAGACACGACAATGGTCACATCTGTAGACCCCGATGACATCACCTTCCTTATTGATAACCTTAAAGGCATCACGTGGGCATATGGTTGGTGGCTTGATTATGTCATATGGCCTTGGGAGCTCCTTCAAGGATTGGAGGCCATTGCGGACCTGGGAGGGGATCATTTGGTTTTGATGGTAGGTGTGATTCTGGCGCTCCTCATGGTTGCTATCAGTATCTGTGGAGTCTTGGCCACTGTTGTTTGGGGAAAGGCCTCTGTCAGAAGACAAACTTTTGTCTCTAAGATGGGCATGGCTCTTCTCTGTATCTTGTGGATTGCCATTTGACATTTCAGAGCGGGTGAGTGGTATGGGATACAAGCTGCTGATGACAGGGACCATCTCAGAAGTGGGAGCTGGTGGGGTTTGTACAAGCGGACGCAGTGCTTCTGCTCCAAGATAGCTGATCGCATTATTTATGGCCTGGTCCATCATACGTCCTTGCATCATTTCACTTTCCTTTTCATACAAGAAACTGGAATTGTAATTAATGTCAAAGCTATGTCGCTTCTCACCTACAAGAGAGGAAAGAAACTGAATTACTGAGTGGATTGTAAAAGTATTGAAACTCTAGGATCCTTTTCTAAATAGCAGTAGGCCCTGAGAAGGAAACAGATTTGAATTTAGCTATATGCTCTTTGGGGCAGGGATGCTGTTTATGTAAGTAAATTGACTTTTTGACGCACAACCCTATAGGAAATGGAGCAATAGAGAAGTTAGTTAAGCAACTTGCTGGCCAATCCATCACTGAGCTTGATGGTTCTGGGATTTAAGGAAAAGAGTAAAATTAGGAAAGCTCGTCAAGGATTCATTTCCTTCATCTTTACAGAAAATCATGTGAAAACTGATTCATGAAAAATAAAACAGGCAAAAAAGTCAATTAGTCAATAAACAAAATCCACAGCAGGTCCTTAAGGTTTAGAACATTCCCTCTAGCTCTTTGATCATCTCCTGAGAAATTGTACTCGTCTGTGACGGGGAGGGTAAACTGGCCACTGTCAGAAAACAGTATACTGGGCTAGATGAATCCGTGGTCTGACCCAGTATGGCTGTTCTTATATTCTTATACCATTCATTGATAGATATAGATATGGATTTTATATAAATATATGATGTATTCCCCCCTTTACTCATCTCTTTCTAAATTAAGTAGTTGGAAGGCCCCTTCAATAAGATTACATAGGCATAATTCTGGGACGACTGCACTTAAATCTTTTTACATTTCTTTGCATGGGAGCCCTCACTTAAACTTTCTTTTTGCAGCTCTTTTGTTCTTATTGGGCCTGATTCTTCATGATGTTACTTGGGTGTGAAACTGTAGAAGTACATTGGAGAATTACACCCATTGTATTTTAATACATTAAAATTAACAAGAATTTATGCATATTCCCAACCTAGACTGTGGCATAATATAGCTCCCCTTGGACTGGAATTGTTTCCTTTTAACTCTGTGAAGGATCTCGGATAATACAGTATTGAAAGCCATATAAGTAGAGATAATGTATTCTTTTGGAACATTACATTACATAGGGCTAGATTTTGACTATCTCTAATGCAGTCACACAGGGGAGCAAGCCCACCTCTGCCCTGACTATGTTAACGCTGCACACATTGTACTCAGCCAGGCATCAAGGGAATGGGGAGAGAGCAGAGGGGCTACACAACTGAAACGTTCCTCATACCCCTGCTAGCAAGGTATGGGACAAGGAAGGTTACTGTGGGTGGAGCCATGGCCCAAACCCTTTGTGTGCCAGGTGCAAGGAAGGAAGAAAGCTGCACTCCAAAAAAGACTGAAGTAACTCTTTTGTGGATGTCTAGAAATAAGTAACTGAATTCTGTGGTTTAAATGAAACTTATAATCTTTCATAGTTAAGAAAATGGACAAGCCTGAATGTTCACATGCAAGTGACTTGCAAACATCAGATCCACTAATCTTTGAGTTACGGTAACTTGAATAGTACAGATGTTTATCAGTCACCTGTAGACACTATGACTCAATGTATATGAAACTCACCAGGTTTCACTGCAAAGACAGCAAAACCAGAAGCTCACGTTTCTTTTATAAAACACTTTTATAAAAAAGGTTAGTGAACCACAAGAATGTAACTGCTTCCAACCCTCAGCAAAACTTGTGATCCAACTTCTATTCAGAGGGAACAACAATGGTATAACACATTTGAATGACTCATAATACCAGTTCTAGACAAATGAAAGGTTTAATCAAAACTGAAATAAAAAAATAACAAGAGCAAAAACATACAGAATCTTACTATGAAACTCCTGTTAAAAAGCTCAGCAGTCATTGAAATAAGACATGAAACAAATGTCCTGCCCTCTTGTGGTCATTAACGATCTGGCACTACTTTTCCCAACAGAGATGTGAGCCCTCAGGACCTGTTCAAATTCCCACTTAGTTAATTCCATTCTGCTTCCCTAAGATTCCATATGATAGTTCAGTTAGATAGAATATCCTACTTCACTCCCCTGACATAAACAGGGATGTCATGTGCTGTGCACCTTTAAAAAGCTTCCATATTCCACACCATAAACAGTGGTGAGTGAATGATTCCTACATGTATTTATCAGGTTATTAAGTTTGTTAAGCACTTTGGGATTAAAGGTGTTTCATATTAAATAATATAGTAAGTGGAATTATTATTAGATCTCATTATTGAAGGCACTAAATGTCAGAAAATTAATAAGTGTATATTCTTCCCTGCATTTACATCATACCAAATGATAACAAAACATTATAGGCAAACGGATGGAGTTCCACTGGTTTTGTTGTGTTCTAAGTCAGCAACCCTTTACTTAAAAGGAGACAAAAGGCAGCTCAAACTTTGCCTCATTAAGACAGCAACAAGACAGGGGTGAAAGAAAAGAAAAGTAGATTAGGAAAAGGCAAGAGAGCACGAGAGCAATGGAATAAAGTAAAGAAGATTAATTAGGGCATAAAGTAGTGATACAATTTTATTTATTGCAGCATTGTGGGACATTGCAAGAGATTACTGTGAGTTAAGTTGCTATTGCTCCCAAAGGAAGCACCAAAAAGTTACTGTGAAACACCAAATTAAGAACCAAGCCTGCATTCTCTTCTACTGTTGATTTACAAAGCTAGCTACTACACATTTTAAGAAACACCTTTCCCCAGTTTATCTTTTTCAACTCAGTGCAATGCAAAACTTTCCCCTTCAGAATTCACACGATCATATAATGCAAACACACAGCCAGTTGCTGCTCAGTGATGCTTACTCTACAGCAGTATGCAGATTTTTGTGACATGATGAGGTGTGGACACTGGAAAAAGGGAGTGAACCTGCTTCCTGTTGCTCTGCTAACCAAGGCAGGCCATTTTTCATTAGTTACTTCACACAGAGAGCTGGTGGTATTTGCTGAAGTTTCAGAACTGTACAAGCACATTTACCACTGGGGAGAAAGATATTTTTAATGCTGCTCTCAAAAAGAAGGTTTCAGAGGAACAGCCGTGTTAGTCTGTCTTCGCAAAAAGAACAGGAGGACTTGTGGCACCTTAGAGACTAACCCATTTATTTGAGCATGAGCTTTCGTGGGCTACAGCTCACTTCATCGGATGCATACTTCTCAAAAAGAAGTAGCACAAAATGAGCCATATGGGCAGCTGTGTAAACTGGCATAACTTAATTGATTTCAGTAGAGCTACTCTGATTTTCTATTATTAGAGCTACCCTGATATTCTATGATTCTATGATTTACACCAGCTGAGGATCTACCCCAATGTATATTCTATTCAAGAGATGAGGAAACACAAGCATAGTCACTACTGAGTGCAAGTTTAATTGAAAGGTGTGCCTACCAAGCTATATTCCTATTACTGGGTATCAGATCCACTTAACACACAACTAGAAAAAAATGGCTAACTGAAATGGTAATTACAAACTGCTAAATACTACAAGTTTGGTGCACAGAAGTACACATTAGAAATCCGGCAGGAAGATGGGGAGTGGAACATGGAAAACTTTTGCCTGAACAGCTGTTCTCCCAAAATCCATGGAAAGGCCAAAGGCAGAACCTCTGCAACAGGAGCCATGGGGAAAGGTCTCAGGTAAGTTTTAGGAGTCAGGGATATGGTTTGTTCATATATATTCATATTTGTCCTGGCAATTGAAACTGCACATACCCACACAAATTATTTACACCAGTGGTTCTCAACCTGCAGCCCAAACAGCACACAGCTGCGGCCCATCTCAGCTGTGTGCTAAAGGCCGCAGGCTCCAGGCTCCCAGCTGCCCTGCCACGCAGCGGGCTCCAGGCAGCTAGCTGCCACACGGCCCCGCATGGCGGGGCTTGGGGTCCGGGCAGCCAGCTGCTGCTCAGCCCCGCACAGCAGGTCCGGGGTCCTGGGGCCCCGCATGGCGGGCGTTGGGATCCCTGCCCAGCTCTCCACTCCTGGCCCCACTCTGTGGAGGTGTCTCTGGGCAGAGGGCGCGGAGCATAGGGGTTTGTGCGGGGGTTTAGTTGGGGGGCACTGTGGTTCTCAACCTGCGACCCAGATAACACTTTGTGGGCTGCATATTAAATAGGTTGAGAACCACTGAGTTACACAATGGGGCCACTGCTGGTCAGAATGTGATACATAATCTTTTAGAGCCATTTACATGATGGGCCAGAATTTGGCCTACAGGAAGTGTGAGAGTCTGCAGTGTCATCAGAGGAGTCAGACAATTTAATAGTTTTTCTTCTCAGTAGACTTTTTCATAGAAATGAGCCTAGGCTAGCCTGTTGGTTTACATCTCCTTATCCCTCCTTCCTGAGGAAATGAAAAATCAGCACCCTTCTGAGAACTCTGTTTCCCAAGAAATCACAAAACTGTCCTGGCAGATTTTTCCTCCTGCTCATATAGTTCAAGAAGTCACAAAAGTCAAGTCAAGGTCGGACAGACTGCTGCTGCAAACATGCCACTCAGGAATAAGAGGGAGTGAGTGACTCATGCTTTTTTCACATATTACCCAACATCATCGCTGTAGTAGAGGTTCTAGAGAAACAGCATGTTTCAGAACTCGATTACTCTATATCACTAAAAGAATGTCCCCAGTGCCCCCAACCTTACCCCCCAAAACACTTATTTATACCCCTGTGTCAGCTTGCACTGTTAATAAACTGTATCAATGCAGCATTACAATAGAATAAAAAGGACTCCGTCCTGCAAGGTGCTGAGCCAAAGCACTTCAGCTCATGCTTAACTTTAACCACATGCTTAAGTTCTAATGAAAAGTTCAACACGTGCTTAAGTGGTTTACTGAATCAAGGATTAAGTTCTTTGCTGCATTGGGCAAGAGTGTTTAGCACCTTGCAAAATCACACCCCCAATGAATTATGATGACAAAAATCTGAGGCTGGTCTCAGTACCAAAAAGAAGACCTAAAGAACTTGAAAAGCATTTTAGGAATCACAGTATGGCCTGCAAGGCCTAATCCCCAAGGCCAAAATTTTCAAAGCTGGGTACCTAAAGTTAGAGTCCTAAATCCATAGTTAGGTGCCTAAGAAAAAGCAGCTTGTTTTTCTGAGGTGATGAAAGTTGACAAATTCCCACTGAAACCAATGGGTGCTATAGGTGCTCAGCACCTTTGAAAATCAGGTCACTTTTATTTAGATGTCTATATTTTTTACTTAGGAGCCTACCCTTTGGTACCCAGATTTGAAAATTTGGGCCCAGAATTTCAAGAAGCATCTTTAGTACCCCTCTGTGCAGGGTGCAGATCAGACTATATGAAAATGGATTGCTCAAGTTCTGGCAGATGATTTCTATCACTATTCTCTTCCTTTCTCTTCTCCTGTGAGTGTGAATGTAAATTACCACAGAGGCCAATATTTGCAACAGAAAATGTATATTAAGAAAAGTAAACATCTTGTACCACATATATCCCTCTGGAAAATTTATGATTAAGGCATAACTGCAGGCTAATTAAACTCCCGAGCTCAAATGCAACTTCATATAGTGCAAAATAAATAACTATGACCAACAGACAGAGATAACAGCATCAAACACTGCTGAGAAACAGGACCTGCCATCAAACTCAGATACACAGGATTATTTAAAAACTATACCTTTGATTGGTTAGATTTTAATTAGAATACCACAGTGTATAGTTTTTTATTCTCTAGCTATATATGAGGTAAGTATTATTACTAGTACTATATACCCATTTCAGCAGGCTACTTGACAAAAAGAAATGTGTTTTAAACTTATTTTAATCTCTGCAGAAAACATCAGGCATATTTTAGTACACCAGTGGTATAAACTAGAGTCAAATATTTTTCTGTGATAATTTGTTATAATCTCATTTTGAAAGCTCAAGATTCAGTAAAACTGAAATGAAATGAAAGCAATTTTATAAACATTCATTAAAGAAAACAACAAATTATATCAGACCTTGCTATCTAAGATTTCCAATTTGCCAAACATTGATTTGATAAAATTAAATCCACAGTAAATTTTATGGAAATGTATTGTGGCCATATTTTTTTTAACCAGAGCAAGAAAAGGGGTTGACCCTATCATTCATCATTCAGATTGAAATTTTTAAAAATGACTTTCAAAAATTCAGTAATTTTCTGTCTTTGGGCTCTATTCTGCAGTGCCATATGCCTCTGCAAGGAGCTACTGAGCACTTTCAACTTCCATTGACTACGATGGGGGATAAGGTACTCAGCCCCTAACAAGATGAAGCCCTCTGATTCTTCCCCAGTAAAACCCTGGTAGAAAGGTTTTCACACACACATACAGCTCCAAAACAAAAGCCCCCATAAAATATATATTTATTAACCATGCAAACACTAACACAAACAAGTACACAAAATACAGTATGAATTCAGATCTATTGGTCATTTACCTAATTGAACAATTTCTCTTGTTTATCAAATACATATAATCAGTAAGTAGAAGCACAGCAGGAAAGCAGAAGTTACCTTATTTAAATACATGATGGACTAGAAAGGGCCCTTCAAAACAAGTACTGCTATTGTACCTGTTGGTTACCAGCCCTCACACAGTTAACTGCTGCATGTGAAAAGACTTTTTATTCTTACCAATAAATTTCTGAGGCATTGAACTTTTTCGCTTTGCCACGTTGCTCGCTAACCTGTCCAGCACGAGTGCTCTTTCAGTCCCCATCTCTGCTTTGATGTGCCTTGCCTCCACGCTTGCTAGTTTGGAAAATGTGAAAAGAAAACACACGTAGGTTAAAAAAAAAAAAAAAAAAGGAAGAGATGAATGGTTTAATCTCCGGAGTTTGCCACAGTAACTGGAAGGAAACAGTTTGGAGATCTGATGTAAACTTGTTTTGTTGTTTTTCTGTTGTTCTTGTTCTTTGCGTCTTGGGCACCAGTTGCGGTCAGTGGAACCAAGCACAGAAACGCACACAAATCTTGCAGTCTTAAGCTCGTGCAGGAGAGCATAACCCATACAAAACCAATATCTTCATTAGCAAGAGGAAGTGTAAAATAAACAGGCTGGACGTGGTTGGTTACAAAATACAGATGGAGATATAAGCCCTGCTCGGCTTTCCTTTTGATTCTGAGTAACACTATGTGACAGCTGCAGACCAATATAATTCTTCAAGACAGCTTAAAAAAAGATACAGTCCCTATGTTATATTATCAAAAAAGCTCAAGTATTTTAATAATACTGCTCAGAAACTAGGGTTGTTAGTAAAATAGCAACAAAGAAACATAAAATCTTTCTATAAATTTTACATTTTTTAAAATAGTCTTACAATACTGTCTTCCATTCCCAATTTTTTTCCAGATTCTAGAAAAAGTCTGTTATCTAGTCTTACATTTTTTCTGTTTGTTACAACTGAAATTCACTGTGCATTCTCTATGCATCACTTTCAGTATTATTATTAGATATTCAGAGCTATTTAAAACTATTTAAACTGCCTAGAATTTCTGAAATTTAAGCATACTTGGTGTGTGTCTGTTCTATGTACCATTCATCTAGTGCTGTGGCTCTAGCATTTTCCAGAGTAAGACCCTAGCTGTACTAGCCAGGGCCCACTGTCACACATTCAGCTGTGAATGCTCTCAACCTCATCAAATTATGAACTGGACCAGCCATGACTACTTGTTTGTCACCTCAACCCAGTACTACCAGTCTCATTCTGATTTTAACTGCTCTAGCCCCCAAATTCTTGTTTTCTCCTCAGGGACAGGTATTATTACTAGTGATATGTATTAGAGCACCACTAAGAGACAAAAAGAAAAGGAGTACTTGTGGCACCTTAGAGACTAACCAATTTATTTGAGCACGGTCACACCGTGGTAGAAACTAAACAAACATATCAGAGACAGACTGTGCCCCAAAGAGCTTACAATCTGAATGGACAAGATGGACAAAGGGTGGAAGGGAAGTAAGTTGCCCAAGGCCCCACAGCAGGTTGGGCTGTGGGATGACCTCACTGTAAATGGACAATTTAAATGTCACAATATTTCATGTGGATACCATAAGCTTTGGTGTCCTGCCTAGACAGGAGAGAAGTCTTATCATAAATGGAGGATACATAAACATTTCATGCTGCAGACCAATTAAGTGCAGTTTATAAAGTATTAGACCTAAATTAATCTATTTGCTAAAAATACAGCAGTAGAAATAATGTAAAATATGGCTGTGATAACAAAAGTGCCCAATCATTCTCCTTTAAGCTACTGTGCAATATTTTTCTGACATTTAAAAATAAGTTAAACCTTAGATGTTTACTGTTACTGATATTGGATGTATTTTAATCAGTACTAACCATGACCCACCAAACCTCAGCCATTATTTAGTTTGTCAGTGTTTGCACAGCGTTTTGAAAATGTAAAGTGCTTCACAAGTGTTAAGTATTAAACTGCTCCTGCCATGAAATCTAGCTATATATATGACTCAGAATGGATGGAATAACTGGGTCTGTATCTCCATTGTGTTACTCTGGTTTTATGCAGGTGTATCTCCATTGATTTACATGATAAATCAGGCCCACAAATGAACACATTCACAGTGTTTTAAAGGTAATAATATCTTGCCTTTATATTGTGGTTATTTTTAATCCAAAGGATCACAACATGCTAAACAAACTTAAGAAAATATACATGCTATAAACAGAGATCACTATATCATCAGCTAAAATGCAGCTGCCTCTGGGGTGAAAGAGTATACAAACACAACATAACAATTGAAGTGAGAAAGTGAAGCATACCAGAATCAGTTGAAACGGCAAGAGAAAGTTAAGTTGCATTTTGGCCAGTATCTTTGAGTTAACTCTTGCAAAGCGTGCAAAATGGGATCTTTAATGTCAGCTTACATCTCATCCAAAAGCTGTCACATTCAGCAACACAATACGCCCTAGCATCATGCTGGGGAATTTGGTTTGATACTAATTCAGGGGGAAGAGCACCCACTACTAAATCCCCAGCACCACTCCATATGGCACCCTTGGTTATCTTTGGAGGTCTCCTATCCAAGTTCTGGATCATCCTAAACCCAGTAAGCTTTTAATTTTGACAGGATCACTGTACAAGGCAGTTTGCTATTAATAATTAAAAGAAACTCAGCAACCCACATCTGTCCTGAACAAAAACAAGTTAGGTATTATGTTTTCAACTATGGTCACTTTTTATACCCAGAAGCTTTTCACTGGAACGAAAAATATCCATGCAAAAGAGGGCACAATAAATATGTGATAACAGTACTGCTTACTTGTTTATTTCTTTCCTATTCACAGCTCTTTGTTTGCTTTTTCGATTTTCTTTATTCCTCCTACACCTCTAAGTCTTTCCTAGTATCCTCTCATCAGTTGTTGTTGTTGTTGTTGAATATACATTCTCAGAGCTACTTTATATTTCTATTGGTAGAACTCTAGGAGCAAGAAACGGTGAATACAAGATGTTTCACTCAGCGCAAGACCTATATTGGGAGTTATCCTTAGCATCTTGATGTCATATTGGTTTTATCAATGCCATTTATTTACCACTGATGGAACCTCACTACATTACAGTCTAAAATGGTAGACATGCAGCTTCCTGCTGGGTGACACTAATATTCTGTGCAGAGAAGAGATTGCTGAAGAGACACTAAATATTGACCTACATAGTATGTTCTGGGTCATCTGGAAATGTCAATTTTCTAGACTGTTGTGTCTCATGATTTTAAGCTTTTCTTCTGCATGCTAGTAGCCCTTTGTTTTTAAGAAACTGCAAAATATGGGCTGCAAAATATATTTGCAACCTCTTCAAAATGTAGTTCTAGAAAAACAATATGTTTGTTTCTGTAGCAGGGGCATACAGGCATAGGTGCAGCTGTCCCACACCTTATCAGTGTAGCTCTCCCTGTCTAAAGGCTGGCCTGAGATACTCCCATCTACCTGTTCATTCTTGTCCATTTAATTAATAAAGAATCATACTTAGCAGTTATGTAGCATTTTTCCTCATTCAAAGATCACAAAACACTTCTCAAAAGGTAGGTAAGTATCTTTATGTCCATTTTATTGATGAAGAAACGGAGGCTCAAAGAGGCAACGTGTCTTCTAAAGTGACTGCAATTGCAGTTGGTCAGTTTTTGGCCAGTCTTTAGGAATGGAACCCACATCTCCTGACTCCTACTCTGGTACTTTATTCACTTGATGTTCCAAGTAGAAACTGTCATTTCAACATGTAGTTAACAATATAATCTAAATACACCAGGCATCTTTTTTTGTTTTTGTTATTTTGTCACTTATTGACCTAGGATGGTTCAGAAGGGTCTGGATTTAAATCAGCAACCATCTGAACACTGATTTCTGAATGGCTTGACAGAGGCACAAGGAAATGACAGATGACTTGCCCAAGGTTACATAGAGAGTAACTGAACAGCGTGATCAAAAACCTAGACTCTTAATGAAGTTATACTACTTTAGATTGTGATCTTGATATGTCATTCAAATCAAATAATGTTGGCCATGGTTCATCTTTGGATGGGACAGCACCATAAAAATTCCCAAAGATGCTGCAGGAGGTGTTGGAGATTCATTAGGTATTATTCTTCCCTCTGAACCTTCACTAATCAATGCCCTAGCATTGTGTTAGAAACACTGAGGAGCTGTCTTTCAAGTGAAATGTAAAGCCAAGTTTCTGATCATGGCCTTCTACCCAAGAGTAGGACAGTGTTAGCTCTAGTGTCCTGACCATTTTCAACTAAACTCTTCCTGAAGTCGCAATTGGGTATGGCATTCTTCACTTAATATCTTAGACATCTATGTAGTGCTTATAAATGCAGTTGTCCAGTGTTTGCATTTCAGATGTAAGTGTATGTGCATTTCAGTGTTAGTCCTGTGTTTAAAATACATTTTGGGATGAAAAGCATTACATACATGTGAGCTATTTTTCATTACGGACCACCAGTCTTTTGCTATAACCATTAGATTAATTATATTAATTTCTTAAGAGAGCAGAGACTCATTATACTAATTTCTTAAGAGAGCAGTGTCTCTAGAAAGCTCTAGTGTCTACTACCCTGCTGTAGAAATAGAAGGAGCGGGTCCTTTTCTTCCAGTCATGAACATTAATATTTTATCATTTGGCCTGTAATGAATTGTTTCCACAATGTGGTCTCTGTCACACTGTGACTATACTTTTTAGTGCATGTGGGCATCATTAGCAAACCCTGAAGTGCTAAATGAAGCTCAAATTAGAGGCATTGTTTCCTGTCTCATCTACTGTGTGGTCACTAAATAATGGAGAGTGGAACATAGAGGTGGGTTATTGTGCTAAGAAAACGGTGTGATCAGAGATTGTTATCAAGGACAGAGCTAAGTTCTAACAATACTGTTACATAAAATCTTTTTTTTTTCAGCAATATTGTTACCATGCCACATTCTGAGCAAGTAGAATACTAAAATGCAATGAGAAATTATTTAAAATTTTAAAAGAATGAATGAACTAGAGATTGCTGAAAATTCTGTTTCACTAGAGATCTGTTTTTTATTTATTTCCCTTTTCCTTCAGTTCACTTGTTTAAATTGTAATTCTACAAACAGTCTGACACTCAACTTTTAAGGGATACATTAGGTTTCCATAATACATCTTGTATTCTGCTGCTGCTACTATTATTACTACTGTGTTGTGGTTTTTTCCAGTGATCTCAAAGAGCTTTACAAACAATAATTAAGCCTCACAACCTTCTGGTAAGATAGGTGCAGTAAATCGTATTCCTGTTTTAGAGAAAGATAAACTGAGGCATTAAGAGGGTAAGACACTTACAGGACTCCCTGTCCCCTGATATTACTTATAACTTTTGGAATTCAACTTTAGATATATGGACTTTGTCCAGGAGTCATTAAAAAGAATAAATACTCTCCAAGCTTTGTAGAGAGCCTGTGTGCCTCAGGGAAATTATGTTTGTTTTTAGTTTATTTTTTAATAAAAGAAGGTTAACTTTTGCATTTAGAAGTTAGTAACAACGTACAACTACTGGAGAAGGATGAGAAAAATATGGGATCTGCCTCCAGATTTTATCCTCCTGAAAGCAACAGGAATAGGCTTGGAAATCAAAACATGGATCTATCTTGAGGAAAAACTTTATGAAGTATATTGTCTGCTCCTGGGGTCTATCTAGTTCCTCTCCAAGCCAGAGTGAATTTCTGGCTTTTACTCAGAGAACATAGGTCTTGGTCTTACTCTGCTCTGGTTTTCATAGAAGACAGTAAATAGAAAAATCTGATCCATTTAAGTACAAATCAGAATATTCATCCAGTTCTGAGACTTAGGACAACATTTTCAAAAGGGCTGAAGTGATGTAGAAGCCTGAATCCCATTTTCAAAAGAGACTTAGGCACTTAGGAACCTAAACCTCATTGACTTTTGATGAGACTAAGGCACATAAATGCCTAAAATCACTTTTGAAAATGAGATTTAGGAGCCCAACATCTCTTAGGTATTTTTGAATATTATCCTGAATGTCTAAAAATGTCAGAGCAACACTGTAATGTGTAATCCTTGAAGCTCCATATGGAAATCATATAATTGTTCCCATGGCTGATCTACATAATCACATGTTCCTATTACTATTATCCTCATCCTCCCCCCACAATTTCCTCCATGTATTTATTACACCCCTTTCCTGCACCTTGTCTTAAATTAGGGTGTAAAGCTCTTCTGGATAGAGACTGTCTTTTACTATGACAGGTTTCAGAGGAACAGCCGTGTTAGTCTGTATTCGCAAAAAGAAAAGGAGTACTTGTGGCACCTTAGAGACTAACCAATTTATTTGAGCATGAGCTTTCGTGAGCCACAGCTCACTTCATCAGATGTTTACCGTGGAAACTGCAGCAGACTTTATATACACACAGAAATCATGAAACAATACCTCCTCCCACCCCACTGTCCTGCTGGTAATAGCTTATCTAAAGTGATCAACAGGTGGGCCATTTCCAGCACAAATCCAGGTTTTCTCACCCTCCACCCCCCCACACAAATTCACTCTCCTGCGCTCATGCTCAAATAAATTGGTTAGTCTCTAAGGTGCCACAAGTACTCCTTTTCTTTTTGTCTTTTACTATGTGTTTTTGCACTTATTATAATAAGACCCTTGTATTACTTAGGCCTTCTGGACACCACTGTAATAAATAATAATCATCACAATAGCAGCAGCAGGGTTACGGGTGAGAGGAGCAATGACATGACATTTCAAGATTTTGCTCTTGCTGTCTCAACCTGTGGGGAGGAAATGCCACACTGAGGTGGAAACTTCTGAAATGTTGACAAATGTAAGGTGAATCTTTTTGCATATCAGCCATTGTCATCAATGAACATTCTACATGTGGAACGAGGGCAGAATATGCCATCTAATACAGTGCCTAACAGCAGCGAATTGAATAGAAATGCCTCAGCAAGATTGGAGTTCCTGTTTTTCATAAATCTTACAGTGCCACTAAAAAACATTGCAGCATTTTTTAAGCTGTGAGGCCTTAAAAGCAGAGTATACTGATACATAATGCTGTACTGGAAATTTATATTTCCTCTATGACCAATTTACGCACTATTTTAGCACTGTTTATGGATAAGTGAAAAGTTGCCATTCTGAAGTGAGTACAAATGATGGGAACTACTATAATGCAGAAATCTACAGTAGGTATAAAGTTTCTGTGCCTCAATTTCCATGTGGTGGGCATCTCAATGTGATTGCCACCATCTGAGTGTACCTTGTAAGATAAAGCTGAAGTTATGGTATGTACAGGTTCTGATGAAAATCACAACTTGCTGACACGCTCAGTTAACCATTTACTTTTACTGATACTCAACACATTTCTTTGTGCGCAAAAAGGAAAACACGCTATGAAGCACTAATTAACCTTGATAAATCATCATTTCCTGAATTTTTTTTTTGCACACTAACGGCCAAACCTGCAAGCAGCTCTGCAAGGTGGGGAGGAATCCTTGCACCCATTACAGAGTTCTAATAAATCAATGGGGATTCATGAGCGCAAGGGCTTACCTTTGTGGTGCTACTTGCATAAATAGGGTCTAAAATAGCTGAATATTTTTTCTTGATAGCCATATCCCTACAATAATTTTGTTATGTTTGAAGTGTCCATGTTAATTCTGTAACTTTATTACTATTTATTATTATTCACATAAAAGTATTTTAATCCTTATTTTTAATTTTTTAATTTTCACATTTTATCAGAGTAAAACATGCACTTAAACTCTTTGTTTGAAAAGAAACATTCAAATTCAGAACCAAAAATGAGAGGCTTGATACTTTACGTTCACTTTTCAAGGCAGGAAGTTCCCAGCTATAACAGCAGGAGAATGGGAGCCAGAATGCTGAAGTTTTCATAGATACTAAGGTCAGAAGGGAAAATTATGATCATCTCGTCTGACCTCCTGCACAACGCAGGCCACAGAATCTCACCCACCCACTCCTGCGAAAAACCTCTCACCTATGTCTGAGCTATTGAAGTCCTCAAATTGTGGTTTAAAGACTTCAAGGAGCAGAGAATCCTCCAGCAACTGACCCATGCCCCATGCTACAGAGGAAGGTGAAAAACCTCCAGGGCCTCTTCCAATCTGCCCTGGAGGAAAATTCCTTCCCGACCCCAAATATGACGATCAGCTAAACTCTGAGCATATGGGCAAGATTCACCAGCCAGATACTACAGAAAATTCTTTCCTGGGTAACTCAGATCCCACCCCATCTAACATCCCATCACAGGCCATTAGGCCTATTTACCATGAAATATGAGTTTTAGACTCATATCTGCTACTGACTAATTCTGTAAACTTTCAGCAAGTCACAACCTCTCTATGCCTGTGTAAAATGGGGATAATTATATATTTCCTACCTCATAGGGATGTTGTGAGGCTTAATTTATTTTATGTTTTGAAATTCTCTGATGAAAATAGCTATGAAAAGGGAGAGTATTATTGTTGTTACTTTTGCCACTGAAATATTTTCTGAAATCCAGTATTGGAGTAATGAAAAGGAAAACAGAAGTTCCAAACTATTATTGGAAATTAACTTTTAAATCAGGTGACAAAACTTCGCTTCAGAATAACTAAAGGAATTCAAGTCGCTGACCAATATAGACTACATGAATGTAAAATTAGTTTGCCTGCATTCACAAAAGGTTCTGTTCAATCATTAAACTACTTAGCTACTATCACAATATACATGACAGTTATTTTTACTTTGTTTCAATTTAGAACAATAAAAAGAACCTCTACTCTGGCTCTGAATGCTGTGTCACTTATTTAAAATTACAAAACTAAGCTCAATCAGTTGATCTCTTCTCCAAGTAGCAACTCATAATTAAATACTAATACCCATTGCCTTTGCCTATACCTCAATTTTCCCATTTCCCTTCAAAAGCCAAGTATAACATATGGGCCCCCTTCAGTGTGCCCTTAAAGTGGGCAAATGGAACATAGATTCTTTCTGTTCACATAAATATGCATATTTCTATCTCCTTGTTTATTATTGAATATTTCTCATCGAAACTTCTCTCTACATTAGAGGCTGGTCCATCAAGAGTGTCAGGATCCCCACCCCATTTCCATCCCCTAGCCCAATACTTTTGCAGTTTGAAACACTTACAAATTCTAACTGATTATGATGGTATCAGCAAATATTAATCTACTGAAAAATAGTTCTGAATGGACTAACACATGCAAACAGTTGCTGTAATGAAATACCAGCAGCAACTCATCCAATGAAATAAACCACATAATAGTACTAGTGTAGGACTAATTTAATTTAATGTGGGTGTCACCTACAGAAATGCTGTGTATGAAGAATTCTGGATGTTTTATTGAAAGTAACAGTGAAATAAAAAAGTAATTAAAATAAAAGCATTCTTTAACTAGCTGCCTGAGGGATGCGTTAAACTAGACCTTTTTATGAGATCTACAGCCCCTTAGGTTACTTGAAATGATTGTAGTGAAAACTGTTTTCAGGCTGCAAATTAACAGTTTGCCAGATGCCCTTTTAAAGGCACTGTAACATACAAAGACAAGCACTGTAATCTGATAAACTTACCAGCCTCACACATGCCAGTGCTCTGCAAGTAAGTACGACAGCGCTCTTTATGCTCCTCTAATGAGCTTCTCTGCTTGTAACTCCTTCCACAAAACTCACATTTGTAGGGCTTCTCCACTAGAAAGAAAAGATGGCAGGATAAAATAACCACATGAAACTGATGATGCCTTCCTGGCATATGAGCACATAATTACTGATAACTCTCAATTTAACACTTGGGGAATGCCTTAAATTCCTATATAATTGATTATTATTATTATTACTATGAAATCAAGGTTAACTAAGGGTGAAATTCACCCTGGTATGGAGGGTCCATACATGGCCCTCTTCCTTACTTAAGTCCAGCAGTGCCCTACTACAGTGATGGAATATCTGTCAAAGAGCTTCTGCACTGCATGCAGCTGAAATTTGTGTCAAATAGGCTGGAAAATAATGGGCCAACAGGGGAAGACCAAAGGGGTCACTGGACCTGGATTTGCACAGATTCATATATCCCAATATGATATCATGACTGCAGAGGGGCTGTACTGGAACCCTGCAGACTGCTCACAGGTCAGGGTCCAGATTCTGTTCTCACCCAAACTCTGCAGATCAATCAAATTTGTGGTGTATGGGATATAAATTCATCTGATGAAGTGAGCTGTAGCTCACGAAAGCTTATGCTCAAATAAATTTGTTAGTCTCTAGGTGCCACAAGTACTCCTTTTCTTTTTGCGAATACAGACTAACATGCTAGCTACTCTGAAACCTGTCACCCTAGGACAGTAATTTTATGTTAGTAAATTTATAAATAATTGCTAAAATATGCCTGAGATTTTGTAAGTAGGCACAGTTTTAACAAAATGAATACAGCACTTTGCAAGGCTGATTTTTCCTGGTAGAATATAAAATAAATATGCAATAGATACATATCTGTTGATACCATGATAACATCACTAATGTAAATTATCATCATTTAATTAGCATGTTGCTTTTAAAAGATCTAATCAGAAATTATCGTCTCCCTCTGTTCATCCTTAGACTAACACGGCTGTTACTCTGAAATCAGAACTGTTCAGTTATCCTTAATGCATTTCATATCCTAAGATTGTAGGAGGCAGTGCTCTTAGGATCAGAGTTTCATAAGTTAGCCCCCACATTTGCAGAATCAGGAACAAAACCTAGGAGCTCTGATTCCTAGTACCCCACTCTAAGCACTAGCTTCTCTTAGCATAACCCCCTAACGTAGAGACACTACACTTGTGTGAAACGGGACTTGCACCATTGTTACTTAACCTGGTAATTTATAGGGGTGAGGCCCTGTCTACACACAATCTTGTACTGATTTACTTAAACAGGTTTAGTTAAAACAGTGGAAGCCCTTGTGTGGATGCTCTTATTTCAGGTTTCAGAGGAACAGCCGTGTTAGTCTGTATTCGCAAAAAGAAAAGGAGTACTTGTGGCACCTTAGAGACTAACCAATTTATTTGAGCATGAGCTTTCGTGAGATATGAAGTGAGCTGTAGCTCACGAAAGCTCATGCTCAAATAAATTGGTTAGTCTCTAAGGTGCCACAAGTACTCCTTTTCTTTTTGCTCTTATTTCAGTTTCAGAGTGGCTTATTTCAATGTAGGTTAAACATGTTCCTAATCAATTTAAAATAAACTGAAATAAACCTGGTTTTAACTGAAATAAAAGTGTCCATACAGCCTTTACACTGCTTTAATTGAATTAGTCTAAAACGCCCCTTAAGTTAAACTAGTGCCACTCTATGTGTAGACAAGTTCTAAAGGCACATAGGTGCAAACCCCTTCTTGAAATCAGTACAACACATATATATTGGGGGTTTGCACTCTATACCAGTACAACTTCCCCCCGTTCCCCCCCCCCAAAAAACCCAGTATAGTTAGGACCTTTGTTTATGTATTTAAAGATTTTAACATCTTTTAATTAGTCACTAACAGGCTTCTCAGAACAACTTTAATCACAAACAGCTTCCGATTGTAAGGTTATTAGTTCACATATTGTTTGGCAGCTGTGCCAAAGAGGGTTGCTGCATTGTTGATTAAGATGTGTTTGACACATGATGTTTTTATGTGAGTCCTGATGGGGACATGTAGTTTTGTTGATCTGGGTCAAAGTCAAATCAGAATCTTGTTTATCCATGTAAAATAATCTCATTTTTAACTTTCAGAGTAGCAGCCGTGTTAGTCTATTTGATTCTTTGTATGGTTAAACTTTTTTTCTGCATGTGGTAGTACATAGATAGTATCTGTCATTCAAAATCCTTGAATCTGTCATTCAAAATAGAGATTTTTCTAAACCTCTATGTAATACATTAAGGACATATAAAAATAAACAGGAGTAAGTGTGATCTGATTGTTAAAGAGCAGGACTAGGAATTAGAATGTATGGGTTCTATTCCTAGGTTTCTGATTGACTTGCAGTGTTGGGACAAGTCACCCCCAGTTTTGTGCCTCCATTTCCAAATCTGTAAGAGGGATATAATATGCTAACGGGATATTGAAAAAATTAATGAACATTTGTTAAACTCTTTAAGATATTCAGATGAAAGGCACTAAAAAGGGCAAATATTATTTGGTAGTTGAGTGACACCAGCCCTGGGTATTCTCCTGGGGCCATTCTGATGATACAGGATAGGATAGCTCTAATAGACAAGAATGAGAGAAAGCCCTAGTGGAGTATAGTTCACTGCAACTATAAAAACGGAGGGTCTGATGGCATGGCCACATCTCCTAATGGAGAGGCCATACCTAGATGTTATGCAGTACAAACAAGTGGAGTAGCTGGGTCTCTCTCATAGTACTCTCTCCTGAAAGTAAGGCTTCCTACAGCCTTTTCCCTCACTAGCACATCCATGCAGCAAAGAGAAGAACTGAGCCCCAAGGTGGAATATACCATATATAGAACTAGGGGTCATTGCTAATTGTTAGGTCTCCAGAATCCAACTGCCAGATTAAACCTTATGGATTAACCCTTTCTATTTTCCACAACTGATGTCCTAGTGACACACATTTACAACACCTACGTGTCTCTGTAGGCACTTACCAGAATGTGTCCTTAAGTGACCAGTTAGTGCATCTCTCCTTTGGCAGGCATAGCTACAAAGATGACATTTAAAAGGTTTTTCCCCTGTATGTAGTTTAATGTGGCGGAGGAGGTTACCCTTCTGAGTAAAGGAAGCTCCGCACTGATTACACTGGAATGGCCGTTCACCTTAAAATGACATACAAAAAAAAGGACATTTAATATTTATATGGATATCACCTCCAGCCCCTCACCCTTTCCTTTTTGGAGGAGTAAAGAATGAGATACTGGATCAAATTCTGTCCTGGGACACAAACACCACTCCTGTTAACCTCAGTGGAAGTTACTTTTGAATTTGGCACAATGTGTCCATTTATGAGAAATATTCCAAATGTATAGTTTTTCTGTGGACTGGAAATAAATGTTCTTGAGGAAGTTGATTCTAATATGTTGAGAATTTTCAGGGGAAAAAAACTTTTTTAATTCTTCCCAGTCTGTACCTAATATGATAGTTGACTTTGTGTTAAGGTATGGTACAAAGAGAAGCATGACATACAAGCAAGATGCAGCAACCAGCAAAACAGCTTGACTCCTGGTTTTTGACTGACTAAGTATTTACGTGATGAAGTGCTAGTGCCTTTCATCCAAAATTCTCAAAACACTTCACAAACATGCTTTTACAAACATTCAACCCTGATGAGATATGTAAATATTATTGTACTCATTAGGCAGATGGGTAAAGAGAGGCACAGAAAGATTAAGTGACTTGCCCAAGGTCATATTTGCAGGTTCAGGAACAGAACAAAGAGCTGTGATTCCTGCTACCCTTTTAATCACTAGACCACACTCAAATCATATGGTATCAAAATGTAGCTCTTTTAAGGATAATATAGGGATATTTACCAGTGTGGCTACGTTTGTGAACCATCAAGACATTGAGGCTAATGCAGGCTAATCCACAGACATCGCAGTTCATCTTTCCACTAGTTGGCCTGATGTTGTCATATGAACCAGAGTGTCTCTCCAGTTTAATGCTCTCGTATTCATTATATTCTCTTGGATAGCTGTAAGGTATTTCAGATTCTTCTGTATTTTCCATAGGCTCTGAATTCAAAGCACTCTCTTCTCTTTCATTGTATTCACCCTTCACTTTAACCAAGTCATCTGCAGGTGAACAATAAAGCACAAAATGAAAAATTATGTTAGAAGCTATAATGTCTCTCTAAAACAAATCCACATCAGCTAATTTAATATAAAAATGTTTAAAATAACTCTGCATGTTTGACGTAAATCCACAAAAATAATGAAATACAGTTAAGACATCAGTCCTCATGGATCTTGCATTTATAGTGATAATCTTAAAGAAATAATTATTATAAAAATTATACATATTAATTATATTTTGGGGATATTTTGCTTCTATGTTATATAAATATGTAATACACCATATATCAAATTGTTATTATGTTATATATACTGTACAATATATAAAAGAAAATATTTGTTCACATAATACATAATTAGACTATAGAGATTATTGCCTCAGGGTGTCTGTCATTGAGGCCAAGAATGCAGGAGATTCTTGTCCCTTCCTCTGAAGCATTTGGTGCTTGCCACTTGACTAGATGGACCACAGGTGTGATCCAGTATTTAATTCTGCTGTTCCTATGTTGTAGTGTGAGGAGAGCCCCTTTTAATTTAATTCTTCTCAACAATCCTCATCAGGATTTTCACTAATTATCACTTCAAACAGCAACTTCTATCCAAGGATCTCAAAAGCTTTTAGAAGCATCCATTAATTTCCATTAAAATTGCAAAGAGAACTCAGGGGTCAAATTCCTCCCCAAGATATTTGCTCACAGTCACATAGCACGTGTCTGACAAATAATTCAGGTAGCCCTGATTATCAGCATCCTGCCCTACTGGTAGGGCATACTTGGCCTCCTTCTCCTAAATGTCCCTGGATAGGCTCCTGGTCCTTTGAGTTCCCATTTTTTCTGGGTGGCTAATGAAGACAACCTCTTAGGTTTTGGTTAGAAAATGACCCTACTGGCAAGATGGGACAATGGTGCAAGTAGTTAGCCATTTGCAAATAATAACCCCTCACTCAGGAGACAATGCTCCAGGAGTAAAAACATGAGGAGACTGACCATTCTCTTAGAGATAAAATATATAATTTCCTGTTTGAAAGTATTGCACTCCTGGCCACCTGCTCCTTTCCAGAAATGAGGGTTAGACAGTTAAATATGGCCTTCCTGCTAAGCAAGGTGCTTGCCCTTTCTCTAATGTATAGAACATGGACTATCAAAACTGCATTATCTCTGGATCTGATAAAGAAACCACATCAAATGCAGAGAAAAAACAATTGGTGCTAGTGAAAATGAAGTGACAGCATAAAAAAAAGTGAAAAAATAAAAACCAAGCAATAAACCCTTTCATGAAGTCAAACTTCTCAGCTGAAGTATGGAAGAAAAATACTCCTTTGTCCTGAATACTTGCAGTGAGCTCAGGCATTTATATGGGCACCAAGTATGCTTTTGTCTAAAAATATAACCCTTTCTCACTAGGGTGGAATTTTCTGCCTGTGGCCTTACTTCTGGCTTAAAGGTGTGGGGATGAGGGGGGGAGCAAGTGGCTGTGAGGGTCCTGGTGGTGAGGAAAATTCCAGGAGGTCTCCCTCAGTTTTTCCCTTAGATGATTCTGTCAGAAGGAAGTGTGTTTCTTTCCCCTTTCCTCTCTGTGAGTGGGGAGGTTGGCACTCAGAGCCCACAGATCACCCAAGGATCCAGACTGGTCTTGGGTAATGGTCCACCAGAGGTTAATCTACACAGGTACCTTATTTCTCCTTATCTGTTTCAGGAGTAACCCTGCCTCCCTATCTACCTCCTGGACAGTGCATCTCCTCAGAGTAGCAGCCGTGTTAATCTGTATCCGCAAAAAGAAAAGGAGTACTAGTGGCACCTTAGAGACTAACAAATTTATTTGAGCATAAGCTTTCGTATGTATGTCGCTCACGAATGCTCAAATAACACTGACAGCGTTTCCCTGCTTGAAACTATTGCTGCCCATTCCCATGCCCCCAAATAGGGGATCCTCCAGAGCGGACTAGGCTCAAGCAAAAGTTAGTGTAGCCTCTAGCTGTATAACTTTGCACAATACTGACTGCTAGTTGTTGGGGGGAATGTTAAACAAAACTCTTTTCCACACAGATTTATTTTTTAATAAAAGAGGGCAATCCTTACAAAATAATTCATCAGGTCCTGCACAATGTGTTAAAAGAAAGTGCACACTGCAGCTGCACCTTGCTGATACCTTCAGAAATATGTTTAAATTTCCACTTACTAATTAATGTTTTACCTGTCATCTGTATTAAATGCAGCTGCTTAGGGGAACAGGCTGGTCTTAACCTCTGATGTAGAAGACTTCTCTATAGTTTTATCCTTTATGTTTCCCACCACAAGTTCATGGTTCACATCTTTTTACTCTTTAGAGAAATATACCAATGTTCGTGAATAATATACATGTGTTTTGTCCCTGATTTCCACTGGGACAGATGAAGCAGACTGATATAGTTTAGGCTATATCTCATGGTTCCACCATGGAAAATAACTGTGTTTTGCTTTTTCCTTATTGCACACTGTTTGCAATGTTTTTGTTTTCTGATGATAGATGAGAAGGATGCACCTGAGTTCTGATCAAGGCCCTCCCCCCTAAATCATCACTACCACTCCAGCTGTCGGTGATATCCCACCAAAGCTTGAGTGCTTTTCAGTTTGCACGTAGGCGTTAAAAGAACCTCAACGGAAAACTGCAGCTACTGACAACTAAAAGATAGCAGAAAGCAGAACCTATTAGGGAAGAGTTATTTCATTTTGAGTGAATGTTGGTATAGAAATATTACCTTAAGATGTTGGCCACAATTAAGGGGAAAGTACCTCAGTGTGCTTGTGATAGGCGAAGGGAACAAGTGGCAATATTTATGCCATTTTCCCAAGGAAAAGAAAAGAAATGGCCTAGGAAAAGTAAGTCAATAACTGATCAAGTGGTAGTAGAGGTCTGCACTGCCATGCAGGAGACAAATTCAGTTTCTAGTCTAGGCCTTTTTGCTTTGCAAGCTGGCAGGCATAGGGAGGCCTCTGGAATCATAACACTAATGGTTGGGTGGGAATGCTTCATGTTGCATAAAGAGAGATTTTGACAGGTTCTGGAGAGTACCCAATCTAGTCGTCCTCAGACAAAAGGAGAATGCACAGAATTGTGGAGGAGAATTAAAGTGAGGAAAGACAAGGATATTCTTAAAGGGCTCATTGAAGTACATATAGGAACCACTTGGTTAAAAAGATAAGAATTATTGCCTCTTGTGTATAAGAATTATTGTCCCTTACGTGTTCAGGAAAGTGAAGAGGTTAATAGAGAAGAATTAATTAATCTGTCCTGGCCTGGGTAACTACTTTTTGGGGCCTTCCGGAAGACAATACACACAGCAGAAAGGATCTGGTAGATTTTACACAACAAAGTGGTGGTGTGATACATTAGGGCTGATGCACATGGTTTCATTTCCTGGGGTGATGATTATGAGATGAAAGACATACTCCAGAGTAATATTTTTGTTTCACCTGAAACACTGTAAAAACAAAGGGTTCTGGAAAAGATCCAAAATATAAAGCTGTGATGGCAACATCAGACTGAGTCACCACAGAAACTCTGCATATGTATGCTCTGTAAATTCAAGAATAATAATACACAGTCAACAACAGCAAATAATTAAGAAAAACAAGTGTGTTGTCTTGACTATACTCTCTAAAAGAGGAATTCTCAGGGGAACAGCCTTCAATTGCCATGCTTAATCCAATTCCTTGACATAAAACACAGGGAAAAGAATGTGAGTTTTGTGCTGTTACTGAGCAAAGTTTGTTACTGAAGTTACAGAAGACAGAAAGATTAAGAATCAGAAGCCATTAAAGGCAACAGCACAACAGGGTGATGTTGCTCAAGTATTGTACGAGGAGTGGGGTCATAATAATGAAATCCTCGACACATGCAAAAAGTCAAATGGATAACAAAAGAAACTTAATCATCTTAATGTGGCGTTTTAATGATGCTACTGATTTGCTATGCCAATTCTGAGATAATGAGCCCCCTAATGCTACAGATGTTCAGCCAGACTTAAAAAAAAAGAAAAGAAAAGAAAAAGCTTTTCTTGTATGCCATTTCCTAACTATCCAATTAAACAAATTGTGAAAGCATCTAGATAGTTTACCAGATTTTGACAGCTGTTCATAGGATTTAGAAGCTTGGAGCACTAAAGAACAAAAACAAATCTCTCTCTCTCTCTCTCTCTCTCTCTCTATATATATATATATAGAAGGATTAGAATGTTTTGTGACTACCTGTACCTGACTGACATTAACTGATGAATTGTTACATACAGTATGCAAATGTCTCCACAAACTGTTCCTAGAATTGTGAGTACAAGAGAGAATTGTGAGGTACTAAAACCACTCTTTGCCATCTCACAGAAAGTGAGATTTTCTAGCCTATGCTGGCAAAATAACACAGTTGCATACCACAAAACTGAAGAAGTCATAAGAGTTTACATATTAAAGAGAATTCACAATCCTGAATGTCTATGAAAAACTCAGCAATCACTACGCAATGAACATAACGCAATGTGTACATACTGTAATTCCATAACATGGCAACCATTTTCAATCCTGTCAAGTGAAAGCATAAACAAAGAAGAAAAATCCATAATCAAATACTTGAGGAGATGCACACAGTTCATCCAGTTACAAACCCTTAGATAAATTACTTCTTTTCTTTCCTTTCCATGTTTTCTTAAGATTCACAAAAGTGTTAAATTACATGTTCATTAAAAATTTCAATAAAGATTACAAAAATATTTTTCAGTATATTTAGTACTGGAGAAAGGTGCCAGGCAGGCAGCTTGCAATTTAGGCCAGGTCTAAACTACAAGCACTTTGCCAGTATAGACATAAAATTTTTATTAACGTTAATGTTAAAAATTCTATAATACACAGGTTAAGAAAAGAGTGTCTGTACATCTGGGTATAGTGCATAGATTATCCACAAATACAATGTTTGTTTAAAAGTCATAAGATACCTATAGTGCATAATCAGCAATAACCCAGATTTAGGTGAAA